GTGTCCGTGTGGTTGGCCAACCATTGGCCGAAGCGCCGAGCGCACACGGACACGGTTGTCGCCTGTGTGCGTATCCCCTCCACTTGATGCTGAATGCTTACTAAGTCCACGAACTGGCATCTCTGGGCCAAAGTTTGCGACTCTAACATAAATGCCGTGTTATCTATATCTATGTGACGCATAACTATTCGCAGAGTGAGTTTTATTTATTTAAATTTATTTTCTCGACTCTTTTGGGCTCTGTAAAAATAACACTCAAAATACGGTACTCAGAATGTTACAAAAAAAAAAAAAGAAAAAAAAAAAGTAAAAGTGGTATATAAAAATGTATTAATTGCATTTATTCATTTAGCATATAAATGTTTTTATAGCAAAATTGATCAAAACTACTGCGAATGACGCGATCTTACGCACACGTCGGAAGTTCTCGATCGGTATAGATTGAATCGCTCTGAGAGAGATCGGAAACGCTACAATGTATAATATTTATTAAAGTAAAGGTGCCTATTATGAGATATCATTTTTTAAAAGCTTGTAATTTATTAAACTAGCACAACACAGGCGTGCGCTACGCGCACGCTATTGTTATTTTTATTTTGACGTGTTGTGTCAGTGAACACAGCCTGTCAACACGATAACAGCTACCCTAGTATATATGTATTACAAACCATATAATGTAATCCATATGAGAGATGTCAAACATAACGCATGAAAATCAAACTCGAAAAATAGTGACAGAAAAAAGTAAAGAAAACAATACGTAACTACAGTCACGTGACTGAACTTTTGTGTTTTTAAAAACGCGACTAAAGTAAGGTCATTGACCTCTCGTCAAAGTTCATTGACCTCTCGTCAAAGGTCATTGACCTCAAAAGTGCCGATTTTGTTGATTCGAGAAAAGGGTTCCTGATATGAGATAAAAACAGGTTTCTTTCCTATAAGAATTTTAGCAACAACAGAATTATCGTCACATTCTTAACATATCGCTCAATAGTATGCTTTGAGACATTGAATTATTTAGATGCTTTTGAATATTTCACTTTTTTGCTTCTTATTGCTGTAACAGCCTTTAATTGATTGTGAGACCACGATTGCCTCTTCTTTGTCTCCATCTAAAAATATGATTACTAAAAACTTACTAATACATCAAATATAAAAAACCTAACAGAATAAAGAACTTGACAATTCCTAATATAAAGTACCTCATATTAAGAGCGGATTAGTGTCTCATATTAAGGAATATAAAATTGTAGAAAGTTTAAATTTATACCAACAACAATGTAATAAATTGACAAAACTACATGATAAATCTCTTATAGTGCATGTGTACATTTGAGTAAATTGAAATGACAGTAAATTCTATGACATAAAAGTGTTAAATACATATCTTAAAATTATAATAATTATTTTTCTTCTCTGCGCGTAAACAATAACTTCTTCGCAGACACCACGTCACCTACGGCAGTGAGCAACACAAACAAAAAATTTGATGTTTTTGTGTAAGTAATGTCTTAAAAATACGTAGTCATGAATTTGTAGTTGTTTACATGAAATAGCGCTCGCTATCCCGTATAAAGCGGCTATCTCATAAACATTTTTATCTTATTAGTATTACAAGTTTGTAATTTACGTCGCATGTATCATATTATGTAAGAGCGTTCCAATTTTGACTTTCAACATGATCATTACACTCATTACTTTGCTCGTACATAATTACATCGTAAGATGTCTTATCAAGTAAGAAATTATAATTACCAGATATAAAGGAACACTCTTAACATATTGATGACTGCGAGAAAATCTGTGACATCGATGACTTAGAAATTTCTAAATTTGTATTATAATGAAGAAGACTCAATTAGAATCGAAACGTTTATTGTTTATTGCTATTTGAAATTTTATATTTGTGGATAAGTTCAACAATAAAATAACATCTCATGTTTGCTCGTCAATTTGACTTGAACATTATTATCACTTATTTATTGTAGATATTACGAGCTTGTTTTTGTAATTTTATTTATTATAGTACTATGTATTTCTAGTACTGGCAGTCAACATTAAAATATAGATTAAATTCGAAGATCAATGTCCCATGTTTTCTTGGACACATAAAAAAAAGAGCACAAACATGGGATCATCGATTTAAATAAAATAAAGTTTTTATGTAGTATGACGTATTCTCCATAAACTGACGTCAAAACTCGTGAGCGTCAAAGGACAAATGCAAATTATGTACATAGCTGTTTACGAAAACACTACTCGTTCACACGAGCGGCATTCTAATTTTGCTTTATATCTACTAATTGATGAAAATAAATTACATACGAATGGTACATACTCGCGCACTTATATAAACGAATCATTTCTAACACTTATTTACAAATTAGCGGCGGACAGAATGTTGTTAGTGGCGACGTCAAAGTAAAGATAAGATATAAATTCCTAAAACATTTCTTGATTTCTGAAGAGTTGGAAGCAATTAATCGCACGACATACATCTAGCGAAGCATTTTACACTTTACTGCGAGAGAAGATACATATACCAGTTCAATGGACAACGTAAAGNACAAAACTGTAATGATTACGGGAGGAGCTACCGGACTGGGCTACAAGTACGCCGAAATCTTGCTAAAACACGGTGCAAAAAGTGTGGCTCTAATTGATTTACCAACATCGAACGGTCAAAATGCAGCGACTACATTGGAAAATAAATTTGGAAAAGGTCGTGTTATTTTTATTGAGGCTGACGTGACCAAGGATTTGGAAAAAGCATTTAAAACAGTCATCGATAAATTTTCGACGCTTGATATTCTTATCAACAACGCTGGCATCATGAATGAAAATCTTCTGGAGGAAACTATCAATATCAATGTGATAGCATTGATGCGCGGCTCATTTTTGGCTCTCGATCATATGGGAAAGCATAAAGGCGGCAAAGGTGGTGTAATCGTGAATATTTCATCTATACTTGGATTGTGTCCGACTTATGCCGGACCGATATATAGTGGTTCGAAACACGCCGTTCTTGGATTTAGTCAGTCTTTGGTGGATTTATACGACACTACTGGAGTACGAATTCTTATATTGTGCCCGGGTGTTACACAAACAGCATTGATAACCGACAATATCCAACATAGAGTTTACGATATCGGAAATATTACTGCTGTAATGCAAACAGTGGAAGCATTTCCGAAACAAACAACCGATGACGTAGCAAATGCAATGTTAAATCTTATACAAAAGGGTAAAAATGGAGCAGTTTGGGTTAGTGAAGGCGGTGAACCACCATATGCTGTGGATTTTCCTCATTATTCCAAGCGATCTGTGCCTGTATAAAACTGTAATGTCTTGCTTCGTTAATTATTGTTTTATTTTTTCCGAGGATCTAATACGTATATAAATATTACCCATGACACAAATGTGAAATTGTAATAAATGGAAAATACAAAATTGACGACATAAATCGTTTTATTTATTTATATGTGTATATGTAATACATATGTTTAAGAACGGTTTTAGTCATATTTTCTATATGTTTAGTTAAAAGAAGTATTTTAAAAGTATTCCTTAAAATTTTTCCCTATAAATGAAACTTATCAGTGCATACTTAAGCTGTGTATATGTTATCATTTCGAGTATCGTATTATCCATATCTAGATAATGCATGAATTTTTGTTAAATGACAGATTATTAGGTACTCGACTTCGTAGGAAGTAATGTCACACACTATGCATCTTGACATTCAAAATGTTTAAAAAACTACTAAACATGTTACGTAAAATGTTATTTGCATTTACTTATTTATTATCTGATATTATAGTAAACTATTTTTAACACGCACTTTTAGAATAAATATGTATAAAACTGTGTCTTTTATTATAGAAGTTGCACTAACATAAAATATAAATTTTAATTTATATTATTGTTATTCATTCTTTTGTATATCTTATAAAAACTTATACGGAAGCAAAGTTAAAAACATATTTTTTTTATATCTTATAAAAACTTATACGAAAGCAAAGTTAAAAACATATTTTTTTATTTAGTTCAAAAAAGTATAGTCATATATGACAAAAAATAGTAAATAAAACTTTTAAGAAAAAAACTGCAAACAAACAAGACGTTCTCTGTATAAAAAGCTTCATGAATAAAGACTATTGCTGTTGCTCATGCATTGACACTTAAACATTAAGACTGCGTTTGAGGAGTGCGCTATCAGCGCTGTGACATTTGTACGTTTAGTTATTTACTGAGTGATAAGAAAACGAGTGATAAAGTATCGCAACTAGCGTGCTCTGCGAACTATATTAGATCTTCTCATAAACAGCATGGACAATTTTTACATATGTGAATAGCAAAACTACACGCGTGTTTATGCGTCGATTGTATAAAACCTGCATTCTGAAAATTTTTTCGATCAATTAAATGAGTGCAATTGAAAAAGCTACAATATATAATATTCAGTTAGCCAAAACTAAAAATTTATAATTCACGTCATAAGTACTATAAAGATTTGTACTACTGGTTGTAAATATCGGTAGCAAAAGAGGCATTGGAAGATACATGATGTTTTTGCTTCGATACTAAATAGGTATTTAAATATACAACAAGAAAAAAAAATGACACACGCCGCGTGAGCGTTCAAGGATAAATACACTATGTGTATATAAAAGAATCATTCTCAAGCGCACTGACAAATGAGCGGCGTCCAGCAAGAGAGGTGTTTCACTGGTGACGCCTACTTAAAAATATAATAATACTTATAATAATTTCTGAAGCACTTAAAACAGTAATTTATTGCACTATATACAATCTAGCGAAGCATTTTACACTTTACTGCGAGAGAAGATACATATACCAGTTCAATGGACAACGTAAAGAACAAAACTGTAATGATTACGGGAGGAGCTACCGGACTGGGCTACAAGTACGCCGAAATCTTGCTAAAACACGGTGCAAAAAGTGTGGCTCTAATTGATTTACCAACATCGAACGGTCAAAATGCAGCGACTACATTGGAAAATGAATTTGGAAGAGGTCGTGTTATTTTTATTGCGGCTGACGTGACCAAGGATTTGGAAAAAGCATTTAAAACAGTCATCGATAAATTTTCGACGCTTGATATTCTTATCAACAACGCTGGCATCTTGAATGAAAATCTTGTGGAGCAAACTATCAATGTCAATGTAATAGCATTGATTCGCGGCTCATTTTTGGCTCTCGATCATATGGGAAAGCATAAAGGCGGCAAAGGTGGTGTAATCGTGAATATTTCATCTATAGTTGGATTGTGGCCGTCTTCTAGCTTGCCAATATATAGTAGTTCGAAACACGCCGTTCTTGGATTTAGTCGGTCTTTGGCGGATTCATACGACACTACTGGAGTACGAATTCTCATATTGTGTCCGGGTGTTACACAGACAGCAATGGCAATCGACAATATCCAACATAGAATTTACGATGTCGGAAATATTAAAACTGTAATGCAAACATTGGATACATTTCCGAAACAAACAACCGATGACGCAGCAAATGCACTGTTAAATTATATACAAAAGGGTAAAAATGGAGCAGTTTGGGTTAGTGAAGGCGGTCAACCACCATATGCTGTTGATTTTCCTCATTATTCCAAGCGATCTGTGCCTGTATAAAACTGTAATGTCTTGTTTCGTTAATTATTGTTTTATTTTGTTCCTATTACGTGATATGAGCATTTAATATTGATACAAATGTTATCAATGACACAAATATGAAAGCATATTAAATGACAAATAAAAAGTTGATGTAATTAATATATTGTTTATTTACATGTGTATATCCGTATCTCTAAGAAATTAATAAATAAATGTTTTAGTCTTATATTTAATGTTTAGTTAACCTAGATAAATATAAAATATTCTTTAAAATGTTTCTTTTTATCTGAAATTACCAGTGTATACTTAAGTTGTTCATATATTAACATTTTGAATGCCGTGTCATGCGTATCTGAATGACACATTATTTTTTGCTGGATGAAGAAAACAAAACTTAAAAATATATACTGTGTAAAAACTATTTTGGCCGTTCTTATTTCTCCTACCTTCTATATAAATAAAATCTTTCAACGTACACAAAACTGCAGAAACATACTAAAAACTGCAACAGGCTGTGGATATAGCACCGAAAAGGTATCATAGACATCCGTTTAAAGAGTATCACTTTAAATCATTTTTAATAATTCGGTGCATTTCTTTATATTGGCTGCTTTCCTTTTAGGAGACACAGTCGACACAAAAGTCATTCTGTCTTTGTTTCTCACTGAATACTGAACAAAGACAGAATGACTCTTGTGTCGACTTGTGTCGACTGTGTCTCCTAAAAGGAAAGCAGCCATTATGATTTACATGAAGATCATATCCAATAGGCGGACGCGCGCGCGCCTGCCAGAGAAACAATAGGCAACTCGTCATACTGACTTGTATCCGCAGCATAGCATACTCATCGATAAATTGCTCGTGGAGCAATACGTAGTTACCATTGTACACCACCATGGACATAGCGCTGTTGAAAAAGGTAGAGAAGCGATAATAGATGAACTGGAGTCGTGGCCGCTCTCAATTTTGCGATTGTGCGATTTTGGATATACGACGAACAATCGTTGTAGATCCGGCGACTCGTCTGACAGTGACAACACCTGTCGTATGAGTCGTATCACTCGTATCTGACATTTGTGGCCCAACGTGACATCGTAACTGATCAACGATAACATGACAGGTTATGGTCAATTTAAAAAGTTAAAAAGCGTTTGAAAAAGGATTCTACTGTTACAACATTTATTCTCTCTCCAAATGATAATTTTTCTCGCACACACTCTAACGCACATTCGCACGTAGTCGTTCCTAATCAAGTCCTAAAAAAAGGATTCTACTATATATTGTATACAATAGTTATTGGATATCTTCTAAATATTTGATTATTTATCAAATATACATACACAACATATAGTTCGATTGCTTATATGGTTGGAACATGACATCCTCAATAGGACGCAAGATTCTTACAAAATTGTGTAGGAACCGATTGAACAACTTGTCATCACGAATTATCGCCGCAAAATTCAGTGTAGCAGCCAAGGAAGATGCGGACTCCACGAAAAATATTATTCCAGCTCCTCAGCCGGGAAAGATTCAGGCTGCATTGTTGAAGAAGTTTTCCAGTCCTCTTGTTATAGAAAATATAGAACCGCCAAAAATAATACAAGCAAATGAAGTTCTTATTGACGTGCATTATTGTGCTTTGAACACTTCCGACATGCTTCTCAGTCAGAATTTATATATATTTGAGCCAAAATTGCCGAAGATTCTTGGTTACGAAGTTGTTGGAAAATTAATTGAAGTTGGCGCTGATGCTGAAAAGAATGGCTACAAAGTTGGTGACAAAGTTGCTGCTCTTAACAAAGAGCGATATGGAGGCTTGTCTGAGAAGTGTCTGGCAGAAGTTGGGGTATTTTTAATATTTATAGAATATGAATGTGAAAATCAAATAACAATTTTTTAATAATTATGTTTTTACTTTAAGTAGGACATTTGGAAAGTATCTTCTGAAATAAGATCTGTCGATGCTGTCAGTATTTTGGACAACTACATTACTGCTCTTGTTGCTCTCGAAAGAAAAGTCAATATTGAAGAAGATGATATGATCTTAATAAATGTTGGCGTAAGCGGCATTGGTTTGGCAGCAGTTGATCTTGCAACAAGTGTTTTCAGAGCTCAGGTATGTTTATTTTTATAAAATTCAGTATAATTGTTAGTTAAAAATTGTTTTGCAAGATTTTTTTACTAACGTAAGTAATCCGTACAACAAATTGAAAAAAAAAAAAAACAACTTTAACGCATCAGTGCTAAATTGCAAAGGTCATTGGAATTTGCGCTACTGAGGATGGAGCAGATCTAGCCAGAGAAAAAGGAGCATTTGCATCTCTCAAATATAAGGATAAGAAATTATTAAAACAGATAGAAGAGATTGCAGCTGAACGAGACATCAGAGCTATATTCGATGACGCCAGTGGAGAGTATTTCAAGAAAGTGTTGAATTGGTGAGTTGTGTGCGAACAAGATCAGTCGATAGAAATCGATCATCAACAGAGGTAAGATACGTATCAGCGAAATTGTATAAACTGGTTTTAGCTTTACCGACGTCTACAAAGACACGACGTTAAAGGACTTGCTACGCGACGACAATTTTGCCGTGGTGGTACATCATTTATCCCGCGAAGGTATATATTCTTTGATTTAAAAGCATCTGTAATGTAACACCGGACGGTGCATTCACTTTTAGCCTCTGTCATGAAGGGCGCGTGATCATAGCCGGCACGGCGAAGACCATGACGGACGTTCATTCGGAAGTGCAGAAAGGTTCGTTCAGCGTTACCGGCCTTAATCTTGCGGAATATAGAAAGAAAAAACCTGACGTATATCGGTGCGTATCATTTATAACTTTTTTTTTTATTTGATGTAAATTTTTTCTTATTTGTTATAAATAACATTTTTTGTCACTTTGATTGATCCAAAATTATATAGCCAAGCGGGAGATGAGGTTCTACAGTTTTTCGAAGAAGGACTTATTAAGCCATCTTGTTCGTTGCTTGTCGGCCTTCACAAAATCAATGACGCCTTGGAATTTGTCTCAAAAAATAAACCTTCGGGAAAAGTACGTAGTAGGATCTGAATTTTTTTATTTGTATTTTTTGTGTGTTCAAAAGTGAACTTTATTGCTAAAATTAAAAATTAATTCTTTAATAATTTTAATTTAATTAAAAATTCCTGTGTAACAACATAAAACAATTCGCAGGTCGTAATTGACATTAGAAACAAGGATGCCGATGCAGTGAAGACAACAGGATGAGCAAGTTTATTGCGATCTAGTGTTATATTAATTCTAGTGTTGATATTAAAGTAAGAGAAAAACAATTCTTTACACAGTGATATTTTTTACGTTTAAATATTAAGGCAAGGATATATCTTGCGTAAGAAATTGTGTGTGTTATATGTATATAGCGAAGAATACGAATGTCATCATCGAAGTGTTTAATACAGTTTTCTTTTGTAAATTTTGTATCGCTTGAAACCCCGAGACCCAGACTTCGTTCGAGGTTAAAAAAAAAAAAAAAAAATCCCAATTTAACTTTCACGAGACTCTGAAGGAACAACTGAGGTAACAATCCTGTCGCGCGCCACGGTTCGTCAGGTCGTCCCCTCCTCCCTCCCGACTAGCAAAAGAGTCACATACTAATAACTGGAGCAAAGAGTTGTGTAAGCTGGGTGGGTGTCCGCCTTTCTCTGCGGGCAACAGCTGCCAGGTTTAGCACTGTGTGTACCGCCGCGTATATAACGAGCCACTCGATTTTCAGTACTTGTGGTGCGAAATATCAAGCGAGACTGTCATACACGTAAGGTGCGAGAGACAGGGGACTCGTGGTTGACAACTGACTCGAAACGAAAAGTTCCGCAAGCTCGATTTGCGAACGAATTTGCGAAGAAAAGTCAAGTTGGAATACTTATATACACAATTTTGAAACAGAGATTTAATATTAGAAAAAAAAGCTGCGAGAAAATAGAAATATAGAAATAAAATATATAAATAAAAATATAAGAGAGAGAGATTTTTTTTTTTTTTTTTTTNTCTCTCTTATCTCTCTTTTTCTCTCTCTCTCTCTCCATAGGAAAAAGATCTCATTCTACGCATAGATTGACATTGTTACTCAATGAAATTAAAAAAAAAACAATCGCCATTATTAAAAAATACAAAATATCGATACGATTCGAAGTGCTATTTGTGTGAAAGAAATTTATTTTCAAGGCAAACACAGTAAGAATCAGACGCGTTAACGAAAAGCAATTTGCAGAAACGAACTGAATTCGAGAGATTGGTCAGAAGGTAGCGTAAGTGAATTGTCGCGAAGGTCGTCCAGCTCACTTTTCCCTTACACTTTTCTCGGTTAATTCTTAGCTCCTTGCGAACCTTTTACTCCTCCCGTCTGTCTTGTCTCCCGTCTGTTATACACTTCCATTTCACTGCGATCGCTGCGTTCTCTCAATCTTAACGTTTTACGCATATATTTTGCTAAGGTTTTTTTTTTTTTTTTTTTATTTAAATACACAATATTTCGCACCACGTACGCAAATGTGAAACGTCATCAGAAAGTGATTACTCGAGCAAAAGTTCTTTATGTAATTTTCAAGGCTGGATTTCGACGAATTATCATTTCGCAGATACGGCTTATTAAAACAATTAAGACATATATAGACACATATAGTGTGAACAAATCACGATGAGGATAACGATGATGTTCTCTATCACAAGCGCCGTTTGCGTACTCGTCTGGTTTTCAAGACGCGTGTCTTTTTGACAGGGCGATAATTAAGATCGCTGAAAAGAGCGAGAGCGTGCAATTTCGAACAATAATCCGTCGAAAGATGACGGTAATATCGTACGTCGTGCACTTTACACACGACCCGAAACGTTGAACTTTTCGAAACACGACGGCGTCGCACAGTTTCGTCTTCTTTAGTTAATTGTGAGATATTATCACGCGTGTCGAGAGGCTCGTAAATAATGCTTTGTGATTTACGTTTTGACGCGCGTATATTCGTACGCGTGAAAAAAAATATGCGAGAACAGCTCGTTTCACAACGACGGGCAGATGTGTGAGATTGCGAGATCAAATTTGTTTCTTTTCGCGCGTTTCTTTCTTTCTCTCTCTCTCTCTCTCTTTCTCTCTCTCTCTCTGTTCTCTGAAATTAAAAAATAAAATATGTAAAGAGATGTAAAATATTGGTGTGATTAAAAATCAAATATCAGAGATGTTTCTCTTTTATATCACAAATACGCGAATTATTTCCGAAAAAGAATTGCAATTTTTTTATTGCGCGCAAGAAACTAAAGAACGTGGCAATCTCAGAAGCAATACGTATTGCCAAGGAGAACGATAGACTTATTCGCAAAGTGATTCACAGGGGATTCGGATTTCAAGCACAGGATACAGCGGTGTCCAGAGCTCCGGCAAAGGCTCCGCCGGACGAGGGAGAGACAGAGAAAGAGAGAGAGAGAGAGAGAGAGAGAGAGAGAGAGAGAGAGAGAGAGAGAAGAGGGGATCTCTCCGTGCCGTGTCAGAAGGGATAAGAAACCCATGCACGTACTCTTACTAGCGGTCCGACGACTTTAGTCACTTTAGTCTGACGATCGCTTCCATGGAGCGTGGTTGACTAAGGTCGACGATCGTCCGTCGGTTTGACACACGGTTTCTTTTTCATTCCGGCGAGTGATCGGTGCTAAAGTCAAAAATAAAACAACAAAACAGGATTCGACAGTGTGATCCACAATTTCGTTCCCCAACCGAGCGTTCGTTTAAATCGTACATTAAAAAACAAAAAAACATCGGGAGAAAATAAAATTTATTAAAACAACACGTGCACAAATTTCTAAAAAAAAAAAAAAAAAAAAAAAAACTCGAGAAGAGAACCCACCGTAATGTCAAACAGTCGCTGACAGTCGAACGCTCTTTCGCGACCGCGAAAACAGACATAGAAATCAATTTTCCTCGTCGAGATCGAGACTGAGAGTTTTTATATTTGGAAATCGCGCACAGAGAGAAAGAGAGAGAAAAGAAACCGGAGTTGTGTATCTCCAAGTATTTTAAGTTATGCAACAATTTGCATAATAAAAACTCGCATTCTCCGCTTGAGTTCGAAATCAAATTTTATCGATCGCGCGAAAAAACCAAAAAAAAAAAAAAAAGAAAACGTGCAATCGTGGTTTTCGTGGCCAGCTGAGAGAGTTTTGCTTCTCTCTTCGTCGTCGATCGTGTACAAAGTGTGCAGCAGCTGACGAGAGAAAGTGTTCGCTGTGTGGCCGTCGGGTTTTTCGGCGAAAACAACAACGGAATCGATCAGGATCGATCCGCGCGACGATGAGAGATTCGCGTCTCTTCAGGACAGCATGACTCTAGATCGCGCGTGCGATCGTCCGCGTGCGTTAACATGCGCGAAGACACGTGTGTCCGCGGGGTTCGCTAGATCTTTCTGCTGAAAGGATTAACGCTCGACACAGAGAGAGAGAGAGAGAGAGAGAGAGAGAAAGAAACAGAGAAAGCGAGAAAGCGAGAAAGAGACAGAGACAGGAGAGATTAAAAGTTGATTACGGGGAGCAATTAGAACCGGCACGACGCAAACTACAGGTTAGTCATTTTTCGCTTTTTATTACTCTTCGCGAGAGTCCTCTCGGGGAGACAATTGATCCGTTCAGATCAGAGAAAAAGACAAATTCGTGAAAAATGCTGTTACACGACACAGTTGTATTGTAACACGTGTGGAAAAAGAAACTTTTTTAAATTGTGTTTCAACTTCCCTCTCTTTCTTATATTTTTAGCTAAACCGTCGACAACATTATGTAATAAAACGAGTGTTGCATATGCAACATTATGTGCGCCACGTACACCCCACCTATGCGTAAACTGATTTCAACCAGTTTCTCCGATATTTTTGTCCGATTCGAAAGAGATACTAGCTTTCACTAGTACATACAATTACACGCGTATAAAGGCCCGGTAGTCAAACGGTTCTTGAATTGCATCCTATTCCTTCTCTTATTTCTTATCTTTATTATCTATATTACACGTGTGTATACGTGTGCATATGTGTGCGCGTGCGCGTGCGAGTGTGTACAAATGCGCGTTAAAAATGATTGAAAGTCGTTATTATCATTAAAAAGTCAATTGCTGTGTAATTATCGTAACATCGAGTGATGTTCTAACAATGCCGAATGATCAAGAAAGTCGCACATTAACGTGCCGTTGTACGTATGGTTTTCTTGAACGCTTTCGTGTTGCGCCGGCCAATTTTCCGCGGTAGAGAAAAGATATTTCTTCTTTTTTCGCGAAGCGAGGAAAATATCGACACAGACACGAGAAATCGCCGCGCGGCGTGTCATTTATCGCCGCAATTACCAGCAAGAATAGAAAGAGAAAGAGAAAGAGAGAGAGAGAGAGAGAGAGAGAGAGAGAGAGAAAAAGAAAGAGATGGAGGGAGAAAAAGAGAGTCGATATCTCTTGATTAGCATGTTCTAATTAGCATAATTCTATACTCACATTTTTTATCACACACACAGATTTGAAATTTTAATTTTCATTTCACTTTTTTTCTCAATCAATTTATCGATTGTTTCATATCGATATCTATACGATACTACCGTAAACATTTCCAAGCGATCACTCATTGTGGATCTCAAAGACAATAAACTTATTTTTATTTTTTTTTTATTCAATTTATTGTTAAAGATTCGCACGATGTATCTTTGTGTTCGGAAATTGCGGAGAAAATCCGGGGAGAATCTTGAATCGCGATTTGTGCCACACTGTCACACTTTGACTTGTTTGTTTGAATCGTCGATCGAGTCCGATCTTTTCTCGCGCAGAAAACTCTCTCGCTTTCGTTCGCACACACGTGCTCGCACGCATCGCACTTTTACATACATACGTTCCCGATACGTTCTTCGCACGCGTTCTCTCTCATATCAGCAATTTCTATTTTACAATAATCTCGATCGACGGAGAAAGAGAGAAAGAGAAACGAAGAAAATCTCTCATTTCTACGCATTCACGCGTGGCAATTTTGAGCCGGGAAAGAGAAAGGGGAAAAATCTCAATGTGTGAAATTGTTTTATCTTATATATCGATCAGAGAGAAAGATACATGTGTAATAATGCGCGCGCGCAATGTTCGTATTTTCAAATGACAAATGGGGGTCAACGGGGATGTAGGTTGTCTCAATGTATTCTCAAACAAGTCGTATACACAGAAAAAAATATGTGTAACGTGAAAACCGATTCGATTAAAGGAACGAGGTTAAATATTACACATGATGATGATGAGCGCGTCTATTTTACGTCCCGTAGTTATAATCGCGATTGCCTCTCGCGATTGTCGAGTTACATACAACGAGCTGTTTATATAGGAGCAGGGAGGTTTATACGTTTTTTCCAACCTTTGAAAAACCGCTGATTGCGCGCGTTACATAGCGCGTTTTCAACGGTCATTAAACAACGCGC